CCGGTCCTGAAAGCGGAGATCTTGGGCAAGAAAAAGTGTGAAAGATATCGTGTGTTTGAGTGACGAAACTAGCATGAAAATAATCACTATTATTTTTAGCCCCACAGTGGGCGCCAAACTATTTACCGTGAAAATGGTAACAATAATTAATTTATAAATGGGATTCTAAAAATACGTGATCTATTCCCGAGCTAGTTTGTAAGGGTGAATAGTGCTAAAACGTGGAGTAAAGCAGTAAAGATCGAGTTAGCCTAAAACGATAATCGAACAAGTAAGAGGACGTTCCCGGGCTTAGAGCAAGCCAGTAGATACCTCGGGTCCAGGCCTCGAGCCTATCTCGATCTTATCGAGGGTAGTCGGGAAGGGTACAACAAGTAAGTATATATATAAATAAGGCTTTATACCGTCAATCTTGAGCTAAATGATGAAGAACAAACGAAAAACAGTAAAATGCTAGAGCGACCTCGGGGTCGAAGAACACTGATAACTTAGAAGAAAAAGAGAGAAAGATATTATTGCTTATTGGAGAAGTGGAGCAACATCCGCCCTCTACAAGGAAGGGCGAGTCCCCTTTTTATAGGGGAGGGGACTCTGTAAAATACATGTATATTAATTGCGAGAATACAAAGATGGGACGGCTTGACGTGAGTCCTCTCAGTAGGCTCCAGATAGGCTGAACCTGTCAGGTTGTAGTCATATCCCTAGGGGATTTCCTCTTCTATACTTACCTCGAACCCTGCCTCCTTCGATTCGGACATCAACGAGCCCTGAGACTGAGAACTCGACCGTGGCCCTCCACCCTCGGGGTCTCGAGGAAGGCTTCTCAAATAACTTAACAGTAGGAAATCAAGTCTTCTAATTTTACCGCGTCCACAAAGATTGGAGACAATACTTAGCTCATGCAAAGAGAGGCAATGTTTAGCCTTATGCAATGGTGAGGGCAGTGCTTAGCCCTATGCAAACGGTGGAGACGATGCTTAGCCTCATGCAAAGAAAGGTCGTGCTTAGCCTTATAAAAGGAATGGAGACAGTGCTTAGTCTCATGCGAAGAAGGTCAACACTTAACCCTATGCAAGAAAAGCAATGAATAGCTGCGAGAGAGAAAAGTATTTCTTAGCTTTATGTGTTTACGTTTGGCAATTTTGTCGTTATGAAGATGGTGATTTTGTTGTGCATATGTATTTGCGAATAGTCCCGTTATGTTCATTGTGCCTGCATTCAAAGAAAAATTGTGAGTTTTGTGGGGAACGGTTGGTTCGTGCTAATGAATCCCCGCTTCACTCTAACTCCAGTCTTGAGGTCCTGCTTGAGTCACCCTGTGTAACATCTGGCTGCCATAGAAACAAATTTTTCGAAAAACATTCATGCATTTGACAAATTATTTGCATAAATGTCGTTGTTTTAAATATATGATAGTGCACGAGATCAAATAATTTAGATGAATCGGTGACTGCGACACATTTAGAGACATTGCAACCTCCTTACTTTAGAATGTTGTGGGTCCTCTTCAAAATTTTGCCTCAGTTTAAATGCATACTTCTGACAACACATTATGTGGCTTTTTCAAACGTGTTAAAATTGGAAAAACTCGTGATCTTGACTCAACTTCTGATCATAGAGGAAATGAAGATTTTATTAGGATGTGACAGAACCCACATGGCCGCCTACGTATCCCCTCTTAAATGGGAATCAGGTCAAGCATAGTTTAGTTACATCAAATAGAAAATGCAAACAATCTTAATCATAGTATCTCTTGACTGCGTCTGAATTGATAGGTTTCGGGCAAGTCTCTCCATCCATTTCTGCAAGTATGTACTCCTCCTGTTAGTACCTGGTGAAACATGTAAGGACCTTTCCAGTTGGGTGAGCACTTCCCCTTGTCTTCATCCTGGTGGGGGAAGATTCGCTTTAGCACCAATTGCCCTGGTGTGAATTGCCTTGACCTAACCTTTTTGTTGAAACCTCTTGCCATTCTGTTCTGATAGAGTTTACTATGACATACCACATTCATTATTTTCCCGTCGACGAGAGCTACTTGTTCATACCGGCTTCATACACATTCTGCATCGTTGAGCTCAGCTTCTTGTATGATTCTTAAAGAAGGGATATCTACTTCGGCGAGAATAACAACTGTAGTACCATAAACCAGTAGGTAGGGAGTTGCCCCTGTTGATGTGCAAAATGTGGTACGATATCCATGTAAATAAAATGGTAGCTTCTCGTGCCATTGTTTCTGATTGTCCACCATTTTCCTCAATATCTTCTTGATATTCTTGTTGGCGGCTTCTATGGCTCCATTCACTTGCGTCCTATGTTATGGAGTTCCTATGCTTGATATTGAATGTTTCACACATGGCTTTCATCAAATCGCTGTTGAGATTGGCAGCATTGTCAGTAATAATTGACTCCAGTACTCTGAAACGACAAACAATGTGGTCCCGACAAAAATCCGCTACAACCTTCTTAGCTACAGCTTTATAAGATGCCGCTTCCACCCATTTTGTGAGTAGTCTATGGCCATCAGAATGAACCTATGCCCGTTTGAAGCAGCGGGTTCGATTGGGCCGATGACATCCATACCCCAAGTGGAGAAAGGCCAGGGTGAACTTGTTGCGTTGAGTTCATTGGGTGGTACTCGTATCATTTCAGCATGTATCTGACATTGGTAACTTCTGAACATACATGATGCGGCATGTTTCCATAATAATCTAGAAATACCCTGCTCCTAGTATCTTATTGGCTAAGATGAAACCATTCATGTGCGGTCCGCAAGTTCCGACATGTATTTCCTTGAGCAATCTGGATGCCTCCTTAGTATTGACGCACCATAGTAATCCCAGAACACGAGTCCTTCTATACAGAATTTCCCCGTTTTCACAGAAATAGTTGGCTAATCTTAGAAAAACGTGCACTTCTGAGTATGGATAGCAGTCTCTGGGTATTCTCCCTTTCCAAAGTAATTCTTGATATCGTGGAACCACGAATTTCCGTCAATCTCTTCTTCAACATGAGCACAATAAATCGGTTGCATATGAATCCCTATTGGGATAGGATCAATGAAATTCTTGTCTGGTGTTGTATCATGGATGACAAAGTGCATCTGCGAATTTATTCTGAATCCTTGGAACATGTTTGAACACTATCTTTGTGAACCTCTTGATCAACTCCTGTACACAATGCAAATATGGAAATATTTTGGTGTTCTTCGTAGCCCATTCCTCTAAAACCTGGTGCACTAAAAGATCAGAATCTCCAATTACCAGCAGCTCCTGAACATTCATGTCAATGGCCAAACTAAGTCCCTAGATGCAGGCCTCATATTTCGCCATATTGTTGGTGTATGGAAACCTGAGTTTTGTAGATACCGGATAGTGTTGGTCAGTCTCTCATACTAAGACAGCTCCAATACCTACTCCTTTGAAGTTTTCTACTCCATCCAAGAACATCCTCTAGGGGTGGCAAATGTGCTGTTTGGGCTGAGTTTGGGTTGGTCAAGATGGGTTGCACTAATAATTGGGTCAATGCCAACCCAACGCAAAGTTTAGTTGGGTCAAGATGGGCTAAACATGGGTTACAACCCAACCCGCCCAACTTGACCCAAATATTTACATGTTATCAACTATATGAAAATGAGAGGAAAAAGTATAATCTCCCCCACCCCCCCCCCCTCTCACCCCATGAACTGAAAGCCCACTGCATTGTTTACTTAATGTGATGAGTAAGCATTTAATCAAGCATAAAACACTACTTTCTTGTTCCACTTTGTGACACCTTTTTTTTTAATAGTAACGGTGTCTGAGCCAGTTTGTACACATAATCTATTACAAACAAAAAGATATTTTTTTTAATAGTAACGGTGTTTGGGCCAGTTTAGACAAAGGATATTTTTTGGTAATTATAGATTTTATATTTACCAGGTAAATAATTACATTTTAACTAGACAAAAAACATTCACATCTTATAAATTTTAGTCCCTATGTTTGCCGTTTTATTATAAATTAAAAATAACAAGAAATTTACAACTTGCACACCAACATGTCAGTTTAGCATTTAAGACGTTAGTATAGTATTTTTATCCATGCACATGATATCACCAAATTCTATGTCTATACACTAAGCAGAATCACCCTGATATCATAAATTTCACTGAAACCAACAAAAGAAGCCACCGAGAGAAAGAGAAAAGTGGCTCACCAAGAATCAAAAACTTTTTACAAATGAATGAGAGTCCTGGAGATACCATTCATCTCCAAGTTATATAGCAAAATATCAGAATGTATCGAAACTTATATCTCATTATAGTCAACAATCCATATTTATAAATTCCTATTAGCTCGGGCCTCTGCATCCTTGCTCTACATCCACAATTCTAAGTAAAGATGAAATTTTCTCCACATCTACTGCACTGTCCTCCTCTTCAGAATCATCACAAGCTAAAAATAAGAAAATTTTAAAAAATTTCAAACTACAAGAAAGTTCATAAAATAAAATACACACGACACTAATTATAATGTACCTTGATGCCCGTAAATCCAATATCTAGAACACAAAATATCTTCTGCATTCTCCGGTAGAATAGAACTATGGAGTTTGCCAATAACTCGACCACGAACACTAAAGGCTGACTCAGATACAACTGTACTGATAGGTATACTTAACAGGTCAGGAGCTATCAATGAGAGTTCAGGATACTTACTCATATTATCTTTCCAAAATGTAAGCATGTCTAAATTTTCATTTCCTTTTCGAACTAATAGAGGCTCTTCCAAGTATAAACCCAACTGTGTCTTTTCTAAACTATACTCAGATGGACTTTCAAATATGTCAAATTCATCCATTTCGTCCATTATTTCATGATGACATCCATGACTACTATTTCCAACAATTCCAACATCGGATAATGTCATGTATTCTTTAAACAACCTATGCAAATTATCCTTAACAATTTTAACTTTTTCATTGAAAGTCAAAGGATCAAGTTTTGAGAAGAAAAACTTTATCTATTTTAACTTATTCTGAGGATCAAGGGCGACCGCCATAGAAGCAATTGGACGGTAGTCGTCTTGCCAATATTTTGTAAATTTCTTCTCCATTTCCATAGCCATCGCCTTAATATTAGGATCCTCACTACCTATATCTTTCTTTATCAACATATGAATCTTCCAAACTTTATGAAAATATAAATTGGCGGTAGGATAATGGCTCCCAGGAAATAGTGTAGTCATTTCATAAAAAGGCCTTAAAAACTTAGCAATTGTTTCAGCTTTAACCCAATCCTCATCCGAAGGGCAACATGTAAAATCTCTGTCAAGTATCTTGAATTCAGAAAATGCTCGACGGTAAGGAAAAGCGCTATCAAGCATCAAATATGTATAGTTCCACCTTGTAGACACATCTTGGCGCACTTTTCCCGTCAACTTTAAACCAAGAGTCTTGATACAGTCAACTAATTTTACAATCCTTTACTCAGAACCATTAATATATTTTATACATTCTCTAATGTTAAAAATAGCACCCTCTATTGTTTTCAAACCTAAAATAGCTCAAAGCCAAGATTAAATCCGTGAACCAAAAATATTATGATTGTGAAAAGAGGCGTAGATAATAGAACACTGTAGAACATCCAAGATACCATTGAATCATCTAATTCCAGTTATATTGAGTACCATTCTTTAAAAGCTAATGTGAACTTCAAAACCTATTAGCAACTTATTTCCATCCTCTAAACTCAACTAAGAGTGTGTTTCACAGTATTTATTTAGTAATAAAAAAGAGAACTTTGAAAATTATACTGATTAAAGAAAAATGAAAGCAGGCCAAAAACATCTCCATTGTCTCACTCCAAGCATGAATCTCAATACCAAAAATCACAATAAAGCAATAACAAGTACAGAGTTTAAGCTCCTTCAATAAATTCAGGTCAACATCCAAGAATCCAACTGGAAAATTCAAGAAAATAGAATTCTTCCCTTGCTGGATGAACCAAGACTCAATCCTGAACACAATTTAAGAATCAAACCCGGTTGATTTCTCATATATGCGCACTTGTATTATGTCATATTTTACATCAAATATCAGCTATAAGTTGATATAAATTGTGAAAAAAGGCCTAAATTATTCAATTT